TACAATATCCGATGTCATCAGTCGAGGTCAAGTGTGTTTCCCTCGTTTATCTCTAGCCGAGTCTGCTCACCAGATTCAAGATAGCATACTCATTTATTACCGCCTGAACACACACCTCTCCGCCCCGCAGAGCATAGGGCGAAACTGACCAGCAAGCCCGGTGTCATGGCGCTGCGGCCTATAATAACTTCCTCCCAGTCGAGCTCCCAGCCATCTCCTCCGACCTCCTCTCCAGGCATCCCTGTTTCCCCTCCCCTTCTTCGCAACAACATCAGCGCGCAAACGCCCAACGCCCCAATTATTTAAATAGCATACCCCCCCCCGTGAAGGCCCACATTCCCTCTCCCCGCCCTTGTCGATTTCTTTCAACTGTCAAGTGTACTACCGGCATTGCGCAATGCGATTTGCTGTGAAACACTAAAGACCCCCTTCTCGCCCCCAGGATTCTCCATCCTGAGCGTCGGCCTCTCGTCCCAAGCTGGGTGCATCGTCAAGCCAATTTCCCCCCTACCATGTAAATGATGACACGACCCCGGCGCACCACTGCTTACACTTCTGACAGCCAGCGTCTTCCATGAGCTATTCTAAGCGCCACCACCCTGTTATGTTCAGCATATGTCATTCTCTATCTATTACGCTCATATACCCATCCCATTAAGCAAGCTTTCCATGAAACCTTAAATCAACACCGACCAGGCCCTTCCCCACGCTAGCGAGACTGTAAGTCCTCTACCATTCATTCTGCCTATTTTTTCTGCGCGATCCATAGAAGCCCAGGCGCGCTGAGGATGAAAGGTCCCAGTTTCACCGGGTGTCCGCTCCTTCGCTCTGCCAGCAATAATGACGGGCAGTAAGAACATCCTTCCCTCTGGCACATTACCCGCGACGCTCGCACCCTAAGAGCCTACCACACTGGAACTAACTTGTCACAAAATGCGTGTGCGAGATTTACTAACTATAATACACAATATAAATACTGAGGCAAAGTTACCAATATCATAACTACTATTGATATCTCAGTGGAGTATGAAGGGGAAAAATGTAGAAGTGAGATAAAACGAAACTGAAAATGAGAGTCCGAGAGTATTACGTACATGGTAATGAAATAAAAAACCCAATAACTGTGACCGAAATTACCAAAAGCTTATGTAAGGGAATAAGAAATCAAAGCGTGATAGCAAGAGATTAATATTGTCCGTTCTGCTGAAAGACCTCTGCCACTCGTTAACAAAAACACATAGTAATCACCTTTCTGACAAGACAATTAATCATGCCTAAGTTTATCTGATTTCTAATTTGTGAACATATAAATGAGTTTGACTGCCTCCACATTTTGGCAATATCATGCTCTTAGATTATTATCGATCAAAGTTATATATATGGCAAAGATTATTATCATACACACACATATCAGTAACACACCGCGATACAATATTACATTGGACATCCCACCCACCTTCCCGCAATTAAACAACTTGAAACTTTGATAGTTGGGAAAATAAACCCATAAATATTGGTACGTAGAATTTTACCCTGATAAGCATTTGTTCTTTGAGCTACCCGAAATGTAAGGTTGGTTATCGCAAAGAAATCCAAGAACATATCTTCCATGTATTGCTACTCCACACACGACATTACCCCCTGAGGTCAAAGACAACAAATGCCACATACACTTTCGACATCATAGTCCAACAAGACCTGTGACATCAAAACTAATAATGCAACTACTGACTAAGAGTTTAATTCATTAGGCTAATACTCCGCGAGTGTCACCGAATTTGAGACTCGTATTCGTTTGACAGATTGTCGCCTGACACATAAGTTGATTAGTATCCAATATGTGAGCGATCGATAGATATCTATAGGCCAAAATAATAAAATATTGCTGATGGAGAGCGAGAAATTATCTTCTAAGCGGCCCGCACTGCCTCATGAACGCGTATTTTGTGATCAAATTTTAGCAGAAACCCGTACCCGCCACTCAAACTGGCCATGAAGGACCCCTTGCGCATCCCTTTCCCTTCCCCCTTACCCTAATGTCCCTACGGTCCTTAACCACCACACCCAATTGACTTCCCGTATCACAGCTATCCCATGAACACCTTATTTCACACAATCCTATACCTATTACGACTCAACATACCCAAGGTAGACCGAGAGACCGATCCTTAGAGGCCTATGAATCCCGGCCATGCCGGGGTATGACCCCCGAGCTGTTGCGGGATTACCTGGTTAGGGGAAACCCCCGCCGAGCCGTGCACTGCCTGTAGGCGCGAACCCTATCCAGTCCCCCAATCAATCAATTGGCGTGTCGAGAACTCCTCTAGGCTAGGATGCCTTTCGCATATGCGAAATAGAGGAATGATTAAATCTTTGAAATATTCGGAAAAATGAGATGTCATGACGCATATTTTTTCACTCGTTGCCACGAAACCAGTCCATTTACGGGAGACATAAAAGTAGGCACTTACCAACAAATCCAGAGAACTAAAGCATTGACCTTCTTGAAGAAGGTATTGCGAGATATTTCTTGATGTATCCCTGTGAAGCATTAGCAAAAACTTGTATCCATTTGCAAATGGAAATAACATTATTCCTCTGGCAGATGCATTTGATTTCAGATATCATACCTTCAAACGTTTCCAGTCTGTTTATTACGTACGTTTTATTGTGTCCAAAAAATGTCAACAAATAGTTTTAAAACTACTGGTACTACAAATAATAAATCGGGTACCTCCCTATACAGCTTGTTTCCAGAGCAATAACCCTGAGTTACTGTCCGTTTAAGAGACACCTGAGCCGCGCTTTTTCGTGTTTCAAATAGTCTGATTGTGCTGTTCCTTCTCTAGAAGACCCGATTGAGTGATTCCTTGTAAGAGCGAATTGCGTTAATGCTGGTGTGGAGAGAGCGTGAATTTTTTGGCCGAAATTAATATTAATCTTATTGCTGATCTGCAAACCTATTCTAGAAGATTAATAAATAACTAACCTTGGAGTCAATGGAGCAGGGAATAGTGAGCGAGTGAATGAGTAATTATCTGAAGATGCGATCAGGACTGACGTCTGCTCTGGTGCCCATGTTAGGCAGTGGTCTAACACAGAGCGAATTTGAAAGTAAGCTTGAGCAGTTATTTATGCACCAAGGGTGTTACAAGGGTTCTAACGATTGAGTAGTGTTAAAATGCCTGACGGCCTTTGACCCGAGGGCTCTTTTTCACCCGAGATTATTTGAACCAGTTGACACTGATGGTACTAATTTCATTTTTTACCCATTTTTGTTGATTCAGATTTACTTATTTACTACTTAACTAGATGTTAACTTGTCTCAGTTTGTCTTTTCATATTTCCCTCCACAAGAGAACATACATCATCATTCAAATGTTTTCATATTTCCCTCATAACCAAGATCCTTTGGATCCAGGTAAGTAATGAAGTGCTTATAGAGCTCCGTATTGAAGGCAATAACAATCTACAATATATCAGTAAAAAATAAAATTCTTAATAATACAGGAAGTGCAGCAGATGATATTATGGTAAAATTTCAATCATTGCTTTGACATATCACTGATTTTTTGTAGCAATTGTTACATCACTAGTCCCTCAGAGAAATTATTTAGTAATATGTATGAACTGAAAAATGAAAAATTTCCGCTTCAGGCATATTCAGTTGCATGCAGTGCAGTTCATGAACATGCAACCAAACGTGACCAAAGACCAAGACCAAAAAAACAACAACAAAAAACCACTTTTATTCTGTAAGCATGCAATAAGTCTTGCGTGTCAAATTGTGAAGATAAGCAAATTCTCAGAATGAGCAATTGGTCTTACAAATAGTTTAGGTAGTTGTGTGTGTTAAGTGCAACATGATCATATATTCAAAAAATATTAAAACTTAACAATTTTATAGATAGAATTCATGGGAGAGAAGAGAGAAAAAGAAGAGAGGTTTATATAAGAGAAAGAGTATACATTAATATTATGTACAGACAGAGGGCACTAAGAATTTTAACATTTTTTTCCTGGGGTGTTTACAGGTATAGTGTCCAGACGAGTTGGTATTTTCTTGTAAAAATTTTTTCATATATGTTAAATTAAAATGCATTTTTATTTGCTGACTTACAGTAAATACTTATAATGTAAACAATTGATTTATTGAATTACTTTCATTAACATACAAAATTAGTAAAAGCTGCATTATTTAATATGTATCATTGGCTTTGGGGGGTCCTGAAGCTCCTTGATTACACCCTGGGTGTGCCATTGTGTATAGGAGATGGGTTCAAATGTATTTTTATGTAATAATGAAGAGCACTGATCAAATCAAGTCAGTAATGTAATTCATTGCTTGTAATGCAATATTTTTTCTGTATTAGCAAAATACACCCAGACAAGTTCTTTTAGTTTTTTTACACACATGGTACAAAACAGATTAGCTCTGCTAATTTAAGAACATTATTACTGTGGACAGCTATCTTTTGGTGATCATGTGGAAGGCTTTGCTGAAATTTTTTGGTATTCGTTTGGAAGACTTAAAGGTTTGAATATACACCAATAAGCAGGAATACTGTGATTTTGATCTTTTGATCCCCTTTACTAGACGCAGTCATTTTAAGAATTTATTTCTATGCAAATGTTTTGAACACTATAAGCAAATCCTTCAACTTCTTTATTGGACACACGAGAGATATCAGTTTTTTTAAGAGAACAAAACTTTTGAAACCACCATCTTGGAAAAATATAAAAAAGTAAACAGTAAATAAGAGAAATGAAGTTGATCCCCAAAATTAAATTAAAGATCTTATCAATTTCTTGAAGCTAGGAGATTAAACAAAAGACAGAAAAGGCAAGATGCAGTAGCAATTATTTGATGAAGACTGCTTTCGCATTTCTATATTCCCCTAATGAATTTAGTTAGATCAAGTTTAACAAATATTGTAATAGAATCCTGGATAAAATAAGATATTAACACATTTCTAAAACTAATAGGCACTTGTGCTTACCTTTGAATTTACTGGTCTTCCATTTTCAATCTTTTCCTACGGTCATCAGTGCGTGGATCAGCTGCCATTACCTTCATTCTGATACCACAAACTTCCTGCCCATGGAGTGTCTACAAAAGAAAATAATTAGAAGTCAAGCTTTGCAGGGTTGTCACAAGACATAGAACTCTAAGTGGGCATACTTGATCCACATTTGAGTTAGAATTGGTTTAGATGTTTATCTAATGAGTTTAGTTGAAATGTTTATCCAATAGCCCTAAAGGAGAGTTTTATAAAAAAGTGTCAGGACATAATTGTTTAAAAATAGAAATCTTACAAATCCTTACCCTGCAGAGTCAATGTTTTTCAGATCATGGCTTTTATATTAAATTTTAATCTAAAGCAGAAAGGTGGGTAATGGTATTGGACTTTGTGCATCAGGATGTATGCAGGATTCTAGTCTTCAGGTTCCACACTACTACTATTGAACAGTTCAACAGATTCTTAATGCAAGATTTGTTGGGGAATAGGTTCACTCTCTGGTATCAAGGTCAATCAAATATGTCTATGAAAATAATATGTTGATGCTAATACAGTCTTGTAATACACGCAATGGGTCATATTTGTTTTATATCATTGGAACAATAATTCCTATCAATAACCATTAAGAACTTTTCGTCTTTCATTTGAGTTTTTACATATTTCATTTAAAATTTCTTGCTTTTATAAATATAGTGATAAATGGATATAAAAAAAGTATGGCACCAAAACTAGTTGACATTTGTAATCTAACACTAATGATGGTTATTAAATACTATTTGTGTATTAACTATAACTAAACTTATAGGCAAAAAAAAGTATCTAAAGAAAAATCTGGAGGTTAGGAAAGAACAGAAAGGTTTCTTTGAAGATTATCATACCTGAATGGCATTTTCTGCAGACTCCTTACTGGCATACTTGGCATAGCCACAGTTCTTTCCACTGAGCATGTAGACGTCAATTAAATTTCCAAATCTCCCAAAGACATCTCGCAATGCATATGCAGGAGGAGGTCCCGGATTACAAACAATAAATAACCTAAACAGACAGATTTGTACAATCATGTTATGTCAAGTTTTCCTGTTATTCAGCAGTCTGTCACAGATTCAGAAAATATTATTACCCTCAGAGAATACCAAATAGCAAGGTTCTTATAATATTCTAATTCCTCAAGTGAGTTCACATACTCTCTCAGGACCTGTTTCCTCTCTTTGAAAAAGATAAAGCCAAAATATTAATAGCATACCCTAAGGCAAATTCTCCCCCCTGTCGTTTTTTCAAATGATCAAGTGTAAAATAATGAATGTGATTTTGCTGTGAATAACTTGGAAGAAAACTTCTGCCAGATTTCATGTGAGCTTGGCTTTCCACAAGTGGTGCATCATCAGCAATTTTGCTACATGTAATATTACAGGACACACCATATTTTCATCTACAGCCTAGCTCTCATGAGCTATTAAGCCACTGGTTTATGTCAAATGTCATTTGCATTACAATCATTAGCAAGCTTTCTGAAACTTAAATCACACACATCCCTCGGGACTTATTCACCTTTCTGCTGTTTCTGCATCCATAGAAGCCAGGGGCTGAGGAGAAGGCAGTTTCACGGAGCAATATGACGGGTCATAAGCATCTCGTCCTTGGACATTACCCACGCTCGCACCAGCACCATCTGGAAAAATTTTCACAAGCTTCAAATTTCTACATAATACACATATAAATACTGGAAAGTTCCATTCATATATTTCTCAGGGGACTGAAGGGAAAAATGTAGAAGTGAGATAAAACATAACTGAAAATGAGGAGAATCTACATGTAAAAATAAAACCCAATACTTTGACAATACCTTTATGTAAGTATAAAAATGCAAGTATAAAAAATTATTAGCGACTCGTTAACAAAAACATGTAAACCTGAAAAAATTACGTGTAAAACATATAAATTGAGTTTTACTGTTCATTGACATGTTTTATTGAAGTTTTGGCAGATTTACATCTTGTTTCAACTTAGAACATCATTTAGAGGCAATAACATAAATAGTGAATTTCGTAAGTCCAAGATTTCTCAAAGCAAAACTTCTTTCTGCAACTCAATGAAAATCAATCCCAAAAGACTGAAAAATAAAATAAAATATTTTTTGCTAATACTCCAGAAATTATACTCGTATTCTTTTCACTGATGTCAATGGATCTAAATTAGCAAAAAATAAATTTTCCAATTGTGAAAAAGGAATACATGTCGAGTCAGATGTCAAAACTAAGAAATCTAGTCAATATGTTGAAAAATATAAAAAAGATTCCTTACTTTGCATACCTGGTGCGAGGCCAGCGGCTTGGATTAGAGATGTGGCCTGAGCGATTGTTTCTGCAAGAGATGCTAAGTCTGGGGGAAGAGAGCGTGATGTTGGGCCGGCTGAACTCGAGCCTGGTAGTCTGGGAGATGTTGAACCCGAGAACGTGTCACGATTCATTCCCCCTCGTGATTGCATGTTTCTACAAAAATTTAAATTCATACAATGAGAAGGGGAAAAACAGAGAAAGTAAATAAAATTTAAAAAATTGACAAAAAAGCACAAGAGCTTAATTGCTGGTATGAGAAATAAAAATTCTCCTTAGCACAATCTTTCATGAAGGGCAAATAATTTCTTATTAGAAAATTATAAAAAATCATTCTTTCAGTAGTATACATCAACACAATTTCATTTAAAAAAAGGGCAAAGGTCTATTGTTACAATTTACACATACATTCATTATACAATTTACTTCAGTATCTTTTTCCCTTATATGTTTCCAATGTTTAAATATTTCCATGGTCACAGGGTAAAATAATAAGGTGAAAAGTCTTAGCTAAGAACTTTTATTCTGCGACAAGATTATTTCCAGCCTATCTTGTTTTTATACAACATTATCTTGACTCGAAAATAGTTAGGACTAACTACACTATCATATCCATATGCTACAAGATTCTCAAATCGTTGATCATTTACAAAATGCATTATTTAATTTTTCTGTAATTTGCCTTAAAACTTTCTTGGTCCCTGACTAGGCCCAAATTGCATGCCAATAAAAAACTACTCATTCACCAATTTTGCTCTGATCATATGAAGGCTGTAGAAAAATAAAAGTAAAAAAGAATCTTCTAAAAAAACTTGAGTCTCCACCCCCAAAATATTCGTAACTAATTGAAAAGTTTGAGCTCCTCAGGTCCAATCTGTCCCTCATTTTTGAAGTTTTTAAGGATTTGTACTCAAAAGCAATACTTTGATATTTCTGGATAAAGCATATTAAATTTTTGTTTCAAAAGCACAGATAGCTTTGCTTAAAGAATAACAATTATACACTGCTTGACAAGATAATACTTACAGAGGTAAATCATTTCGAGCAGATGGATCCATTTTCACAATGAGTCTCTGGCCTGGAGGATATTCAAAGCCATGCAACTTCTCCTGTGCATAGGCCGCTGCCTGAGGGTTGTTGTAAACCACAACTGCATGTCCCTTGCCCTAAAATTTAAAATATTTTTCACATGAACAAATTCATTGAAGCAGTGAAATTGAAATTCATTGAACTATCACTTTCAAGTCAATGATATTTATATACTATTAACTTCCCTAAGTTATTATGGTAAAGGAGAGATAAACAACAAAAAAGAAAGTTAAATTCTGCATTCTTTTTTGAACGGCTTCAAATGTTTTTTTAATATGCACAATTGCTGTTATTTGAACTTGTAAATAACCAGCTTTAACCAGCCAAGATAGGCAAGGTTGTAAGGCTGTAGTGTCGTAGTTATATCATCTCAAAAGGGTCGCGGGTTCGAATCCCACCTTAGACATGGATGTTTATGTGTGCTTGTGCTGTCTTTACATACCATCAAAGTGGTTGCTACATAACCCCGCAGTTGAAAATCAATCTTTATAATAATAATAACAATAATAATAATAATAATAATAATAATAAAACACTGCACATACACAATAATAAAACACTGCACATACACACTACACTATTTTATCAAACCAAAACAATCAGTATTTAAAATTCTAATCTCAATAATGCTTCGTTCTAGAGGAAAAGGCATGACCTAACACTCAGAATAACCACAACTTTAGATACACAAATCTTGAATAACACACGTATAAAGACTATGCTGAAACACATGTAAAAGGCAAAGAATTACCCAGAAGGAAAAATATAAAATAATACTGATGTAGTATCAAAACAAATAAGGAGAACATTAACTAGTAAGAAAAGCATATATTTGCCTCAGATTTGTTTACACTATCTTCACAAAGGAAATTAGAGTACAAGGAGATCCATTTCTCAAAGACAAAAACAACTACCCTATAAAAACATGTATTCAATAACAAAATTAAATTCACTATATACATTAACCTTTACTGCCATTTCACTGATTCTAGTAGTTGTGATAAGCCAAAAATTTTGAATATTTTCTACCCAGATTCATCCGAGAAGATCCCGAGTGCACACAAAGATACCACATAAGCAATAAAAAAGATTTCATTTAAATTGCATAAAAAACAATTATTATCAGAGTCCATACATATTCATATAAAACAAGCACATAAATTACATCACACCTTCCCAGTCCTCACTGATGATTCTTTTAACCCTTCTTGGGGCTTAAACTAAAGATGTTGGATTCAAAAATGTAAAGAAAGTCAAAATTTTTCAGTTTCACACTTTGAGTGACTGGAGGGGTCACACGCTTTGGAACTCAAGATCGCCTTCAGAGGCACTGACACCTGACAGAGGAAGAGGGATCCGTGTCCGGGACATGTCCTCGGAATGTATGTTAATGATAAAGGAAAACCTACAGGAGCTCTATTGGCACTGTCAGATTCAACAAAATCCACTCTTAATAATTTGTCAAAAAAGCAAATATACTGATTTATTGCAAAATGAATGTTTCATAGTACAAATTTATTTTGTAAAAGTAAGTGCGGAAAGAGTATAAAATTGCACAAAATTTCACCTTGTGGCCCCTTCAGTGTCTCCATTAGAAGATTGTAGTAATAACATATTACTGATAAAGTTAGTACATTCAGGTTGTAGCCTCATAAAGTTTTGTGGTATATTAGTAGGGTAGCGTCTTCTAAACCAATAATATTAGAAGCAAGATTATTTTTTTATTTTATTTTAAAGCAACAATCTTATACTATGAAGTTCAAACTTTTATATTTGCATTAATAATTTAAGATACAAATAATACAAAAAATTGAGTCCGAAAAAAGTTCAACATGTATATTTTAATTAAATTTTTACAAATTCGGTCAATATTAAAACATGAAACATAACATTAGATTTGTGTGTATTGCAATAATTAAGAAAACATTACTTTTTATTCACAAACTGGCTTTGGTTTAGTAATTTTGAACAGAGCTTATTAGGATTACTTCAGAGGGCATGTTCATTAGTGTACTTCGAATTTATTTATTACCTATTAAATGGCAGCAAACAAAATTTACTGATGTATTTAGGTACTTCATTGGTATAGAAACCTCCATGAATAGTTAGTGATAAGAAAAAAGGCAAATACAGTGCATGTCCAGTGATGTGTTTCTCACTTATACATTTTTCATGTTTATATGTTTTTTTGATTGGTCTCAGGTAAATTCCTATAATTCCCAAGGCTAAATTATTTCAGTTATGTGTTTTACGTTAATACTTTTTCACATTTACAGGTTCATAATAAAAGTCCCTTTAAAACCGTATTAACGTTCAAATGATCCCGCTTAGGCGCGGAGCGACCTCCGCCAAGAGCCCACAACCTGTATGTTAATCGAGTAAGCACGCTCCAGAGCACTCCCACAGAGCAACCCCTCGCTTGGCCTCCGAGTCCACTTCATGCAAATGAAACGTGCCATACAGAAGCTCAACTCTGCTTAGTTGAGGGACCAAGAGAGTGTTAGCTCATTGGGTGGTAGAGTCCCTGGCCACCTCTGGCAGTAGATCTTCGAAAAATTTTGTTGGATGCATACAAGACCTCTTTGCAGATCTAGGGTGGCGACAACTAGCTTCAAGGGAAGGTCAAAGATGTTCCCAGGAGTGAGTAACTAAGTGAAGATTGTTCACTGAATGTTCCTCTCTCCGAAGGTCCATTTGCTCATAGTCATAATCATACAGGATCCTTCTGGTACCGCCATAGCGCAAGCAGCTAATGAAATTGATCGCTTTCCCACGCAGCGCAATGGGTGTTGCCAGGCTGTGGCAGCTGTGTGCTTCGTGTCAGCATCGCTGACCACAGTGCTTTGAACCCCCAGAATCTCAAATATCATCAAGCTCGATACTGAAGCAACCAGCGACAGGCTGTCGCCACCAGTTGTAGCCCACGCAGGACACAGCCCTAGTTTTTGCAGTGAAACTGAGTCAAACAGGGTCATCAGTAAGGTCCCCATTGCGTTTCTGCTCCCTCAACCGCAGGGGAGACTTCTTCAATAACGGCCCTCTGACGACATTATTTTTCCAATCTGACTAATGATGTAATTAGTGACTCTGAGGTTCTATGTTTAAATTGAAGTATAGTTCTTCTATCTGGTTTTGTGTCTGCGATATTAAATGAAAAAGAGTGGTAGAAAAAGGCAAGCCTTTTCAATATCAGATAAAATAAAACTTTTAAAAGTTGTTACGGAGAGTGACAATAAAAAGCTATTGCTAAAGAAATGGGAAAACGATGGTGTAAAAACAGTGAGTCTTTATTTTGCTCATAATCATCAATTTCAGTTATGCATTTGTCCCACTGATACATTAAGTCCCATGAAAAACGTATAAGTGAAGAATTATCCTGTAAATATACAGTATGAATCTCACTTCGTAATTTAAAGGAACCTATTGATGCCAGTAGATTCTATGGGCAGTGACTTAAATGCGTTAAGCTTGTAATGAAAAAACATTAAGTATGTATTGTGTTTTCTACAATTCATTATAACGAATTTTCATTATGGAAGTTTTGATTTCACCCCATATTTGAGATTCTAGTACAAATAATTATCCATAGTATAAATACAATACAGTACATATACAAATAATACATTACAATAGCTTTATTATTTATAATGTTACAATTCAGAAGTAATTACTAAACCTTGGAATTTTAGTAACAAAAAAGTGATTAAGGCAATAGGTAACAAAATTCTGAAAATGGGTACAATTGGGCATGAAAAATGACACTTTAGCCACTTAAAATAGTTTACAACATTGTTCCACTTCACACAATGCAATGTAGCTGATACAACACAGGAACAGAACCACACATACACAGATAAGAAAGCTCAAAATGATATTTTTCCTTTCCAGAGGTTCAAGACTGGGCCTTATTTTGTAAGCTTCACTTTTCTGACAAAAGGCATTCGTCTGACCTTGTGTCTTTTCTATATTGTATAGTAGACACACCCACGGCGGCAGTATGATTCAACAGGTGGAGCTGCACTGGGAATGTGAGCAATTGCCTATGAAGTGCTTGCTG